CACAATTCACACGAACTCAGTTTTATTGATGATTCATTCAAACACCTATAAGTAGTTTATTCTTGCGAACACGCAACTGATTTAATTTATTTAAAAATTTGGATGAAGCGGATAACAAGGTAGGTGCAGCTAATGATATACGAATGAATGGCTCAAAGCTTTCTTGTTGCCGTTGGAGTTATCTTTTGTGAAGCTCGTCGCCAAAAAACAATTACTCTGCTTCTGAATATTTAGGTAGCCGTTAATTTAGAAGCTTTCTTGAATCGAAACATGATGTTACTAGAACTATTCGATTAGAAAACAACACAGCAGCGAAATCAATAATTTCCTCTAGGTGGCGTAGGAATTTTTACCTCACATAATGTCTAACTGTATAACACCGTGTCTAATATATTCCATAGTTTAAGGTTGATGAAATCACATCGATGAAAATAAACACGTGTGCTGTTTTCATACACACGAAATGTGATGAATGTTATGCGCCTCGAAAACGTCAATCTTTGAGTTCCCAAAGAAATATTCAATTTGCAAAAACTCTTGAAACTTGATCGGGAAACCCGCTCTGTGCTATGTTGTGTAGGTAGCTTTAACCCGAGAACGCGGCTGACATGACCCAGTGACCAGTCAGAAACCATAAACATTTGCGAGATATAAAACCATCAAAGGCCACTTTAGCATCAACTGTTTTGTCCAGGAATCAAATACCTAGATTCCGCTTAACATATGCCAACAAGCAAGAATGACGTTGAAGGTACGAATTTATGCCTTTGTTTTTTGGGTTATACTTTTCTGTTTTCGAAATGCGCTAACAAACGTTCGTTTCATGCACCACCGGTTTAATCTAACCATATCTTTTGTATCAAGCATAAGAATGAGCGCAAACTTTTAACTGTAAATCAACAGGACCCGCGTTAGCAGTGCTCAGTTGCCAACAGAGGTTTAACTTCAGGCTAAATTCTTATCAGTAAAGCTTCCAGTGGTAATGCAGAGGCCTACCTCATTGCAGACCACATTAGATGTGGTCTTTTCGCACGTATAATAAGAAATTTTGAACTTCTCTATGCCACAATATATCTCAACTTGACAAGTCATAGAGTTTGGTGTGTAAAGTCCCCTTTGATAACCAAAGTACAAGTATATAGGGTTTATGGGGCTTTCTCTAGTAACTTCCTTGAAGAAACCTCTGAGTAGGGCATTGTGTTTGCACCTGGTGATGAGAAACAGACGAAAGTAGAAGTCAATGATGGTTTGTTTACCGGTTTTGTGACGAATGAGAGAAAATTTTCCAACTAGGTTTACCGAACCGGGAACACCTAAACGGCCTATAAGTGTCACAACGTATAGACTTTTTCGGCACTACGCAAAGCGCGTCTGGAAAATACGCATCGTCCAATGATACGCTTTGTAGGGAATCCATAGACGTGTAAACTTTCTGCCACTTGGCCAAAGCAGCCCAGGCATCCATCCGTAAAACAGCGAAGGATGCCCGTGATCACCGTCGGTCTGGTTGAGAGGCGGGATGAAACCCGGTTCAAGGTTCTTCTCATTTATACGCAACAATAATCTCTTTTAATGAAATTCATATCGATTGATTTCTTGTGTGCGGGTAAACAAAGTCAAATTTTTCAAAGTTAGTATGTAAACGAATCGCTCAACGTAAATAGAGCTCAGGTTGTCGATTTTACTAAATGTGACTTGTAGATTCAGAATGAAATATTAGGCACTAGGTTTTTGAGAGATCTGCTCGAATCGCAAGTTCACAAGGTGTACTAAAGTTCGCGCTCTATTTTTTGTCCAAAATTGATCAGTTTTAAGCACACATCAAATCTGAATTTGTTTTCAGCTATTCTGAAGCTAGAGTGTTTTACCGAAAAAAAAGAACTTATACGATCGGTTTAATTTTCTCGTGCAAGTACACTGTGACACTATTCGAACATGCCACGAAAATTCATCGTTGTCCAAAAACTACGTACAACTTGCATTTGTGTACGGTGGAGTTGAAAAATGAAAGAAACTGTGTTGATTAAATTTAAAGAAGTGAATTTCTATCCGGTGACTTAAGGTGTCTAAGTGGTGCGATAAATGTTCAGGTGTCAAAAATTAATGTGTGATTGTATTAGTTGTTCTGACATTGGGGTTTTCAAAATGAAGACTACTTGAAATTCGTCATGTTTGACCACACTTTAACGACCTTGAGATATTTTTGGGTGCTAATGAAGTCAGAAGCGTGGTACGCTGTATCCAAGGCTGGTACGCTAGTCCAATGTGGATAAAACAATGCTTAACAAGCTGCAAGTCTGTGATGATTTCTAAACTTAGATGTTTTATGAATGAATGGCAGTGTGTCATTCAGAAGGAACGAATCGGACAAGGTTTACCTGGTAGCACGGAGAAGCTGATTACCTGCGCCTGGATTAAGTTAAACCTGTCACGAACGAACATTCCCTCGCATGTCATGATCTGTGGTGTTTTGGTGGAGCAATTACACATCTTACCATGGTACATAGCATAAATGATATCAAAACTCAGAAGGTAATGCACGTCCATTAAACTGTTGGACTCGCTTCTCCAGTGAACCAAAAACCAGTCCGTTCTTGTCTAACCTTTGTTTACACTGCCAGTTGTTGATGATATTCTCCTCAGAATCTATGAATTTTGGAGTCCTATGGCACTCAAACGCTTTTGGTTCACCCAAAGCACTCCATTCAGACAGGGTATTTACGTTGCCAGGCTAGGCAAGTTTCAGACATACTTATAAATGCAACTAGTGAAGACTGTGCATTAATCCGACAACACAGATTTCACTAATGATGCCCAGAAGACTTTATACCGAGCATAAGTTAGTAGTAAATCGCGTTCTTGCATCATCCCCCCGGTTTTCTAATGCTTACACATTCCACCTCATTAGAATTTAGCCTACATGCCCTACTTCCTCAGGCAAGTATAGTCTTTTCTGTGGTGCGCTTTATAAAGCTCTAAATGATTGCCTACGCAAAAGCAGGCCTACTCAATACCTCAAGGAGCATATTTCTGTTTATTTTATTTAACTATGGAAAGACGTGTAGTTTTGTAAGCACTCGTCGAAAAGCGGAACGGGTTCGGTCTCATTCAATTCTTGTCTACACGATTTGCTTACTTAACAAAATGGTTTTCTCACTGTCAAGTGGTAAATTACACAAGGATTTCAGCAAAATATCTTACCTGGCATACTAAAAGTTTTTCTGCAGAAGGAGGCTATTGTATCTTCCCCGAACGCTTATCAGGAAAGCTAAAGTGCGCGTCCGAACAGCAATTGCATGCTCATAATTTCAAGTTATTGGAAGTCTTATGCTCCTAATTTCTTGTGACAGCAGCCGTTCGGGAATGAATCCAACCACGTTGTTTACATGTTCACATGACTAAAGGACGTTATTGAGATTTGCAGATGGAAGCGTTTTAGCCCTCGGTGGTAAACCAGACGGACGTACGATGCAACCCTCCAAATTATGCTTGATTCGATGGAAGCCTGACTCGTTAACTTCGACTACAGATCCAAAAACAACTGGTTTCATGTGATCTTTCAAAAACAGAAGTTTTACCGAAGACAACTCAGTGAATAAAGCCGAGCCTTTTCCCATCAATAGGCACTGTTCAAAAAATACAGTGACACTTGAATGTCACTGTTTAATTACGCTACAGTATGCATGTTCTTGAAAATATTTACTAATTTTTGATAGCGCACCTAAGGTCACGTTTGCAACACATTCCGCAACCCAACTATTTCAGATGGGTATAGCTTGGTTTGAGAGAAAGTCACAACATTAGAAAAGAGTGTTTCGTGCTTGCAGCAGGCTTTATATATCTTTTCGTAGGTCACATGATTGTGAGGACCCTCCCTTTAAGAAACAGAGCGATATGAGCTCGAATATCCCGATTCCTTCTCTAGTTTTGCTGCTGAGTTGAGTCAATGGACTTTGGATGCCTCAGTCATCTGGTAGCCGTTTTGAACACTGTCTTCCAAAGATCTCGTGTTTGATGTGGATGGTTTCAACTTAACGTGTGTATGGCTTTTCACCTCATACTTGTGTCAGATATATAGCCAGTGCATTCCACCTCCATAGGCTTGTTGTTACCGGCATTTGGAACGTGATTGAGTAACATGACTTTCAAGGTCCACATTCCAAGTTGCATTTTGCTTTCAACAACTTTATAACGACTTCAAACGGTACGTTTAGTCAGTGGGTACAACGAGGAAGCGTATGATAACCTGGAGTAAAGGGGTCCAACGGAGCATGTGGCGGGATGCCGCAGGATGCGTCAGTACAGACGTGAAAGGACCGCAGAAAGCATTTAATGATTAGTTAGTTAAAGTGAACGATCAGACATGCGTTCAAATGCTTGTTGAAATCTGTGACCTATCTTCACATCCATATCAAATCTGGACAGCTCGTGTGCATTTTTGTCAACATTGTCAACATCGTTTCCCTTTTCAGAATACGTAAGCTATTTGTCGAAACAAGTTTTCCGTCGTGTGATTTTGCGAGGTCATGTGCTCGGGGGTTGGCTGAATTTGAAGAAAAAGTCACTGCCGCCTCCTCCAAAAGAGTGTTTTTATCTCAGAGGATACTTTTTCGTCTACTACAGAATGCATGGGTTGAGTTGTCATCCAGCTTCTTTTCCGTTTTTATGCAATAAATCTTCCTTCGTTGGATGCACGCCATGTATGGAAGTCAGCTACCGGTTGTCCTTAATGTAGCCAGCCGGTAGGCTGATGTCTGAAAGGGATGTACGCATCCATTTGCGAATCGCTGATGACGGATACTTGCCTGTATTGGCGGCTCACGGAATAATATAAACCATCTGGAGATGAATAGCTTTTTGACTGCTTGAACAAGTGAGCCCAATAAGGATGAGTTCATTCTGGTAAATGTCTTTGGGTCATGAGACCAAATCAGCTGGGTCCTCTCAGGGTCATATGTTAAGATCGATCGAATTACTGCGTAGCAGAAAAGTGCAGTAGGATGGGGCATCTTATATTAATTGATGCCCACAACGTGATAGGTCATGAAATTACGCAGTTGTCTAGTCCGTTTTCTGGCAGTGCTCCATCCATTTGCCGGGAGAGCGACATTGGCATAGCATATCGGGAAATGGTGTGGAAAATATTTTTCTTTTGGATTAGCTTATACTGTCTTGTATTTGAAACGGAGTCTCTGTCTAAGCCACTGAGATATGAAAACAACAAGCGAGTGGGATATGACGACTTTCCATCGAGGCAACGCCGATTAAGATTACTGCGGGAAGAGTCTGACAGCTCAGTTTCGCATCCTCGTCGACTAAAAGACGTAGATGACAACGACTCTCCGTCTGACGACACTTTGCCCGATGAAGAGACTCGTCGCTTATCAGCTCGTCAAAATCTTAGATCTGACTGGCAAAGTGATACCCGCATAGGTAAACGAAGGGGGCGAAGACCGAACGAGAAGCGCGCGAAAATCCCAAGGTTCAGCTATATGCCTATCGAGATGGATGGAATCAAGATGGGTGAGGACGAAAGCTTGCCCGGGTTTGATGAACCGCGTTTTCCTAAGGTCACAAATCGTTTGTTTAAGGGACCAGAGCCAAAACCCGACAGGCTTATGAGACTAGAACAAAACTCTCCGCCACTTTCAGAGAAGCTTAGCACGTTCTCCAGGCTGAAGGAAAACGTAGGGCGTAGAGGGAAGCAGCTCAATCGTGAAGAAGTTTCACCGGCAAAGAGGTTAAATCTCCCTGATAAACATCAAGAAGGATTTCCCAGGAAAAAGGCGCCGTCGACACTGGGCGAGTCACAAAACCAAAGGAATCTACTCTCTGGAGACGAAGTGAGTAAATTATTTGATTCAGCCGCATCAGTAATCCGATCACTTCACTTTTACCTGTCTGTTTAGTGACAATTGATTTACTATAGTTTCATGTGTAGTAGAACGCCAGTTCAACTGTGACCTGTACAACAAACTCTCCGTTAACAGACAGAGAGCTCTGGGCCTCTATAATTGCTATTCACGTTGATAGGAGACGTAATCCCTATCTTTGACGTTTTTCACGCTCAGTGGTCGCCCGGGCTCCGGGAATTTTTCAGTATAGCGATGAGTAATGAAACTGGTTCAGGGCTATTGCTGCCACAACAAATTTGTCATTATAACAAAGCCTGTCTATTCCCCACCAGTTCGTAACTGCATACGAATGTGAGGATCATTGTAACAGCTTCAGAGATCATACTTGAATTGATTGCAACGTATAAACTGAATAAATAGTTGAGATACTTCATGTATAGTATCCGATCGATATTCGTAGCCACACGGTAATCATCCACTGCAAATTCTCCTCAGGTTAGCGTTTTTAATGGCTATTAACCAGTTTGGGGAATAGTATCAGTCACCTATCCTTTCGGTTGGCTGTTTTCACTGTTCACAGCAGTGTCACGCCTCCTACCAACCAAACCTGTGAGCACTGCGAATACGAATCAGTGCGTTTACTTAGTTTACTGTATGAGGATCTGACCATTTGCTAGTGGTCACGATCCGTGTGGATGGAACTGACAAAGCCTATGCGGTTTCTCACCAGTTTCATTCCAAACAAACGGAAATTTCGGACGGACGCTGGTTAGCGTTCAGCGATAAAATGGAGGGACTTCGGAGTATTTGAATGATCTAGCTCATCATACGATTTCGAACCAGGCCTTACTCAGTATATATAAGTGAGCGCTCGCCTCTCACCGTTACAAGTGAAGGGTAGGTTACTACCTTCAAATACCTGGTTTCCATAATCAGTGGGTAAAATAAGAAACCTACCGGCATAATCACAATTCCTGGAATATCTCTGAACATCGCTTTCAGGAGAAATTCCGAGAGAGTACCACCCAACACCGGCGATCTATCAGACCATTTGAACAACCTAGTCTCTTTCTGGTTCAGAGAATTCCAGCACTGTGGGTAACGCGATTGTCATTTAAGCATACTTAGGGTGCCAATCGTTGATGTGTGGTGACGTCTATAGGACATGTCTCTGAGGCCGACGAACTTGATAACAAGAGGCATTCACTTTGAATTGGACTCCGTACGACCTGTGAGTCGGCCAACCCCCTCAATAGGGAAATTCTTTCTGGAAACACTACTGTGACCTGTACTAATAGACACCATGAATGCAAGTGAGGTTGGTAATAGGATAGCATTTGGGTTACCGACTTAAAATATGTGACTGGCCATGTGGTATTCATGTGATCAGTCTAAGTTGAGGGGAAGCGTGTATTGGATTTCAAAGCATGCGACAAAGTCATTCCATCTGTATAACGTACTTGGGAGACCAAATCCACTATGCGCCTTTCGCACATAAGCCTTAAGTCCACCGCTCTACAATTATCATACTACCATATTTCAGGCTGATCATCTGACTATTCACGATAGGTTAGATTCTTTGGAAACTCAATGCAATAACTAGGCTAAACTAGCCAGTTTTAGCCTGTAGGAACACAAGCGATAAACCACAGCAGTTTGATGACCCTTTTCGTCATTTAGACTCAAGTTCATAAGTTTCCTAGTACGGTCATATTATAGTACGTTGTTGCTCACTACAGACTTTCCCCAACAAAACAACGTTTTACGGATTTATGTATAGAAAACGAAGACAGATCTGAGAGACAAATATTGGTGCAACTTACTTATGAAGATTTAGTCTCACCGTCACTGATGTACCTCCGCAGTAAGGAAACAAGAAAAATGGATTTTTGGTAAAGTAACTAATTAGGGGGAAATTTGCGGTACATCAAACATGATTTCCACACTGAAATACCAAGTTTCTCTACCAGCATGCACGCAGTGCGCTTAGAAACCCAGACATTAATACATTAGTGTGAACAAAACGTGGAAAACTTCTCAGTGCAAATAGAAGTTGGCGGGCTATTTGTCGACCTAACAAAAGGAAATTAACATGTATATTTTGGTCTACTTCGTGGATGATAGAACATAGTGGTGTATTCCACATCGTGAAAAAAATGTTATACTAGCTTCGATGCAGTTCGGTTCACACAGATTGGAAGTTCAATAGTCTGTTATCTATTCTGTTTTGTTTGCCCTGCTGCAGATTGTTTACGAAAAAATATGGGTGAAAATCTTCTGTGGAGCTGGGCTAAAAATGTTGTAAATTGAATTTCGAAGACAAGACTCAGTGGCCTTAGCAATATTTTAGACAGTCTACACTGGTGAACATCGAAGTCACTCTCATCACTGAGCTGTTCCCGTGGAGCACACGGTGGACTATGTTCCAGGCTCTCCTATCGTCTTCGTTAGATACGTCATTTTATTGTTAGTATCTTTAAGTCGACTAAATTAGTAGATGCAAACTCGGATCTTGCAAAACTCAAGCACAAGGGGGCTTTCATCTTCAAGTGACGATACGAAAACATAGCCAGATTGCTGCCGATTAAACAGTCCTCTTTTGTTCCAGTGTGACCGGTCAGGTTGATTCACGCTGAGAGGAGGGGGCATTAGAGTCATTTTCCTAGAGATGGGGCTACTCATCATTGCATACCCTCTATCGTAGGTGTATGTGATTTTAGGGCGTTACCACCGCCCTTCCAGCACGAGCTGGAAGCACTTGCGTTAGTGTATCTGCATAGATCTGTATGATCAGGTACGATTGATGTGCTCAGCTTATCCAGCGGTTTTACGAATGACCCACTGACCATCAAATCTTCCGCCCATTGATGGTGCGTATGTCGCGTGGCCAGATTCGATACTCTGCTACTGCCTACTCTTTGTAAATTACTACCCACCAGGATCCCACTAGGAGAGAAGGGGTTAGGCTTAAACCCATCCCCTAAAAATCGGTTCACTCTTGCTCAAGTTTTTTTCAGTCAACAACGCGCTACTAGTGATCAGAAAATCAGATAACAGAGTCTTTTCAATGAACCAAGTGATACCCAGTTCGGCCAGATCAAAACTCAGGACTTATTAGCCTTTTTATATGAGTTTCCGGACTTCCAGGTAGATTTTTCAAGGGTATAATTGATGACCGGACTTCCCTTCTCACTAATGTAAAAGAAAACTGTTTAAGCCTCATCAGCTTCCGCGGAGTGGAGTGTGGTTCGATGCAAGACACAAGCACATGAGAGGGTCTATTTGCACTCTGTATATTTAGACGAATTACTTACAGGAGTTGCGGTAGGCAGGAGTTCAGCCACGATAACCGATGATCAGTGCAGTTTACCATAAATAACTGAGCATGAAGAACTCCTACAAGAGAGTGAAATAGCTTGCTATTCTTGGAGGAGCCTACTTCAGGCAATAGCTAGTTGTCACTGAATGCTTATCTCACTGCCTATCCGATACCGCCTACCCCATCTGCTTTGAGCGAAACATGCTCTAGGCGTCAGTGCTGTTGGTGCATAGGTCCATCTGTACTGTCCCTATGAACGGAGCGGTTGTTCTTTTGGATATACCCTTTCCACTCCGGCACTTTATTACTGACATATTCTCACCCTTGCACTGAAAAGTTCACTCCAGCAGAGCTTCTATTTCGTTGGGCGAGCTGGTGAATACTATACAAATGCAATTACTGAGTGAGTCGTGCATTTAATAAAAATGACACTGGCACCAGCATCACATGTGAACGAATTCCTCTAAGTAAATTGTGTGTATAATTTTTATTAAGTAAGAAGTTTTTGAGTATATTGACCTCATGTGCAGGACAAAAACTCGATTGAAAAAATTTCACATCTCTTCAAGCTATCATGAACTAAAAGTATCACGCAAAGAAGAACATTTCACACGATTACCGAAACGTTCATCTAAGGACTTGTCAGTAAAGAAGCCAGTCAACACGTGATTTGGTTTCAGTGATTAGGGAATGAGTGGCGCTATATCCTGTCTAAGTGTGAATTAATCAACTACTCATGGCCGGCTAACTCTTCAACCACTTGGTGAGAGGTCGCGGTTTCGAATCGCCATGGATATTCGTGAGGGAAGCACTGCTTTTGATGCCCAAAACGGGTAAAGCAGCAGTGCAGTGCTTTTCGGTTTTCCGATATAAAGTGCCTTCAATTATATCCGTAATTGTGTTCACACCAGCTAACTACTGATGAGTAATTCACCTCTTTCTTAAAGAGTCATCAATCCCCAATGGAAATCTGATACTGAATTCTTATTTAGTAGCCGTGAATTGCAGTAGGTGTACGCCTAAAACACGCCTGAACAATCTACACTCATTTGATGAAGCACATCTACGACGGAAAGAATTGTGTGGTTAGACGTATCGAAATTCGACCATAACTCTTTTCATGTGATATCCGACTTTCAGTCGATCGAGCGGGGCCAAGCCGTTTAGCTAGCCTATTAGCCATTTCAGCACAAGCACACAAAGGTGGTCGAACGTTCAGTTTTGAAGTAAATCACGTTTCAATGGGTCATTTTGCCATAATGGTTATGGATTACTTCATCGGAAATGAATGCTTTCTAACGATTATATACACGTGACGGACTGTTCTCCATCCCTACTTACTATTAGACTGAACTCGAATCAAGGTTACGGTATATTCCTTTCACACAATACTGTGTGACCTACTTAGGGCAAAGTCGACGGATACTTGTGATAGTCAACCTTACTTTCGTTGGTCTATCGTGGCAGTGTGAATTCCTACCCTAATTACTGCATTGTTTGTATTGTCAAAGGAAGTGGCACTAAGGATCAACGTGATCAACCCGTTTCCTGTGTGAAATGAATCCTATTTCATCGGAACACGGTAACCGCGTTTCTTTTAAAAATCATGTCACACTCTGGGTAAACCCATATCTATTTTTATGTTTCTTCCTTAATCTAGGCGACCGAAAATCGCAATGATCCATTTTGGGTTGGTCGTCCAAAACTTCCAATGAAGGGCGGGCCTAAACTAAATGAACCCCCACCTTTCTTATGGAAAAGTGACGAAAGGCTTGGGGCTCCTAAAACTCCAAGTGGTAAACAACTAATTGAAACCTCAATGGAAAGAATCCATCCGGAGAACGTACTGAAGGACTCCATAGACGACAGTCACGCGGTCTACCTAGAAAGCATAACGCCCGTCAAATCCTTCCGGCCAAAAACGCAGAAAGATACGGTTCTATTGAGAGCAAGATCTCCTCGGCTTTCGGATCCATCATTTTCGGATATCATGAGCGACCTGAACAAACGCGAATCATCGAGAATGAATGAGGATTCAATGATGCTGCGAAAAACCGAGTCATCCACAGGATCCGTAGAAACGAGAAAATCCAAACGTTTGGATTCCAAAACGAATTCTAAACAAACGAAGAAGTGGATGAACCTCAAGCTGCTGGTTGACGATTCCGGCCAACTCAAAGTGCAGATGAATCCAGAGCAAACTTTTGAAACCAAAGCAGACAGACCACGCGCCGATCAAACGACAAAAACGAGGGCCGGTACTAATGAACGGAAAGAAGCCAAACCTCAGGCAATGTTCAGTCCAGCGCAAAGTAAGTTGCTAAAATGCGATAGTTGCCCCAAAAATGACCGACTTTGGTGACTAAAAAAATCGGCTCTATTGCTCCCCTTACCGTTTAATTTAACCCTATCCCGCGCAATCGAATAAGCTCTCTAAAGTTGAGTAAAACTAACAGAGATACTTGACCATATCTCAAGAAGATCAAACTGCAAGCCAAAAAATGTGTAGATTTTCCCACATATTTCAAGACAGGTTAGCAGGGACTTCTACCATTTTTCACCAGAGTGAATCAGAGGTGATACGATAGGTACATACAGCTAAGAGCAATCTGAGAATGCCCAAAACTTGCCACAAATCTCTCAACTGAATTGAGGTGCACAAATTTTCCACTCACTTAAACTCAACGGAGGTAAACACAATTTTCAGTTAAACGGGGGGGGGGGGCAAGATGGCTCAAGTGGTTAGAACGTGAATTTACTGACCGGAAGCTTCGTGGCTCGAACCCGAACTCTGCATCCCGACTCTCTCAGCCTAGGATTGAGCAACTTGGCAGTATCTCAACCCTCATGCTTCCATCGGGCGTCATGGCAACTAGGCATGGAAGGGTGTTACAGCTGAACGTCTTTTTTAGATAATTTGGCCAAGAAGGGGCGATAACAGGGATAAATCAAGAGCCATAATTATGAAACGCAAAACAGGCAGTGGTGACGCTCACAACAGGCGAAAGTTTTTGTCTGGCTCCAAGAGTTTTCTAAAGAGCCATTATAGTTTGCCGCGCTCTGAGGCGGTTGTTGTGGTAACGAAAAGGCTAAGCCATATCGAAAATCGCAGTCGTGTCTACGATTTCATCCTGGTAAGGCAGATCCCAGAACCTTCTTATGCAAACCTGGTCTCGCATATCAGTTGCTTATCCTTGTATGATCGCACTCGATAAGAATTGTGATAAGGACTCTGATAAGAATTCTTTTTCTAGGTATCCAAGGAGGATGAACCAATCCTCTGGGAGGTAGATGCTATTTGAACGTATCACTTCTTCTCTGTCATGCTCTACAACTGGTCACTGGCAGTATCCTCCTGTCCTCGAATTCTGACTAAAGACGATCATTGTCGGAATTCTACAGCCTACTCCAGTAGACCAGTAGGAATCACTTCAGTATCGGCACTATGTAAGTGTCAACCCAGGACTAAATGTCGGGATGGAGCTGTACAATACTCCAACCATTGTAATGGATGAGGAGGAGGAACAACCTAAACAGCTATCCAACTTGGAGAGCAGGCGAATTTCTGCCACCGTTGGATGTTTAACTTGTTTGCCTTGTGAGCTTTCGCACAGAATGGCGATGGGATGCGGCCTAACAGTTTGCAAGAAGGGAAAATAGGTTATCTGAAATTGGCATGCGTATGAAGACCCATGTGATTTGAAACAGCATCCGATTAGGCAATACTTGGTCCACTTGTAGATAACCTACTGCAGACGCCTGTTTATACAATGCGTAATTCCAAAAGAGGTTCTTCGGGTACGATGAAGCGTGCCATCCGTACGCCTCGGTGGACCGTTTTCGATAAGTTTATTGTGGACCTTCTGGTCTTGCCACATCGTTACACTTTTCTTCAATGTTTAGGCCAAGTGGGCTGTGTGGCGTGACTGAGTTGGACTACCATCTTTGGCAGACATGATAACTAGCTGTCATGGTCACAAAGACCTTGTATACCCAGATGCATACGACCTTGACCAGAAGTACGTCCGTGCGGTGTTACAGTGTTGCCGCCCAGATCTCGTTTTTCGGGGTAAAATACAGCTTGATATGTGTGTTTGTGAGCGAATAGCGTAGGGAACAAGCAACTGTGGTTGAGCTGCCGACTAGTGAGCATGACGGACCGTTTGCCACTTGCTCTAAGTGGTCTGACATGGTCAAGACAAGTCTTCCTCGAGAAGGCTAAGCAACATACATCACGACATTCTGTTGGGTGAACAGTGTAGCTGATGTAATTATGTCAAACTTTTAGACCTGAGATGCATCACAACCAGAGGACAGACCTTGCATGAAAGACCTGTTCCTTCAATTTACTATGCCGTGTGGTTCCATTGCACCTAGAAATCTACTAATGTGGTATCTAACCCTATTATCTGTAATCGTGATACCGTTTTGTGCGGAATTACTGCTAGATAACGGTATTTTAATTTACCCAAAATTACCCTCTCCAATAACGAAACAAGGACTTATGCCCGTAGCTAAACTCACCAAGGATTAGTTCTGGTCCAACCAATCCATTGTTAAGCGAGGCGTTTGCAAATGAAATACAAAAAATGGGATCAGAGTCCGTTGTTATTTTCATGTTTTCATAATAATGTAGCTTTCTGAATACTGTAGAGCTCTGACAATACTTTCCATCAACGAAACTTCTGGCGTCGATATCGTGAGTGTCGGCTTTTCAGCGTTTCAATGAAAGAGGCATTCATGTCTTCCATGACTATCTCGCACTTTAGTGTATTCGGTAGGGAACACCTGTACGACAGCGTGTCAGGGGGTTGAAGTTTAAACTCAGTATTGTGTACCAAAGTTTCGGTACTACATCATTTTCTAACCGAAAAAATGCCATTGGCTGGTCCGCAGTCGCGATTGGCTGAATTTGCTAGTCTCATCAACAGATGCGGTTGTCTACATGGCACCCAACCAATACGGTTAGACGATAATCAGCATTTTTGGTATGAGAAAATATACTTCAATTAGGGCTCACTGTGTGCGCCCATAGGTCGAAACGTCAAGATAGTATAGTCGGTGCATAGAAACTCAAAGGAGCCATCAAAGTCCATGCTTTCAAGGAAGGGAAACAAACATTACGGACTGAGCTTTTTGGATCGAACGTGTTTCAGTGTTTTTAAGAATGACCTTTTGCTCATACACCGATTATATATA